CCGGAACATACCTCCCGGGCCTGTGGAGACGGAAGGGGAGGGGGGGAGGCGGAGGGGGGGGGGGGGGGGGGGGGGGGGGAGGGGGTGGCAATCGGAGAGGTGGCAATAAAGGTTGCAGATTTATGTATGAAGTAAGATTGTTTTTCCTTCCTGATAACCATCGGCTGGAACAGGCTCATGCTGCAATTGTTACTTCATTCATAAAAAGAAGGAGCTGAGATTCTGCAGAGAGCGAGGAGCTGGGGAGGACTGTCTCCACCTCCTTTTCCCATCCCATTGGCGCAGACAACATCCCGCCCACTGCGCTGTCGCCAGGATTTGGGGCGTTACCGAAACCTCCATTGGCCTAGGGTCACGTCCATCATCTGATATTCGAGAGCACCGGAAGAATAAAACACCGCCCCCTTCCCCAAACCCTTTCCTCATCTTCAAATGTGGAGATGCTCGTGTTGGACTGGCGTGGATAAGGTCAAAAATCACACGACACCAGGTTTATTTAAAAACACAAGCCTGAGGAAGGAGCCGAGCTGCGAAAGCTTGCGTCCTCCAAACAGCACTTTGTCCAACACACATGTCCACAGTAAGAATAGTTCTGAAACTCATGCCCTCACAGAAAGAAGAATTTAACTCATGCACAGAAATGCAATTATGTGAACACTTGCTCCATCCCTGCCTGAGGAACAAAAACGATAGGGATGGGGTCTATTAATATTTGAAAATAGTGAACATTCTGGAGCAACTCAGCAGCATCTGTGCAGGGAGAAACAAAAGTGAATGTTTTGAGTCTGTTTTTTTTTGTCTTCTATCCCTGAAAAGCAGATACATTTATGCGAACAACGGGAACAACAACAAAACCCGACATGAACACGGGCACAAAGCCAAACTTTGATAGAAATTATGCATTTGCTAAATGGGCGATGCTACACTTGTGAAAGGGGTAAAGGCAAATCGAGTGTTGCTGAAATGATTCTAACCGTGTACGCCAGTGGCTGTCCGTGTGGCTTTCATCCAAATGATATGCCCCTGCCTTCTCAATTGTAGATGTCTGGCTCTAATTCAACTTTGTTTCCCGTCCTCTTGAGTAACTTATATGACCACCTTAAGTCTATTGACGTTTCTCATTGACGGGATGTTTCAATATAAACCCTCACCATGTCAAACTGAGCAGCACGGTGGAAATCCCAGGCACGAAGGAGATTGTGCAAACTTGCACTTCTCTATTAATTCCTTTGACTGGAAGATAAATGTGTTTTCTTTAAAAACACACAAATATTTCAAAACTATATTGTAAAAGGCAACAGTAAAAATTAAACAGCGACTGAGTTCTGAGAAAAAGTCATACCAGACTCGTAATGTCAACCATGTTTCTCTCTCCACAGATGCTTCCAGACCTGCTGAGTACCTCAATGTGTTTGTTTCAGATTTTAAGCATCCGCAGTATTTTGCTTTTATTCAATACAATTCAATGGCAATAGAATATCAATGAAAAGACGATGATGTAATTCGGGGCTCAGGTCCTGAATCTAGATTTACATCAGAAACAAAGAGTATTGCTGGAAAAACTCAATGGGTCTGGCAGCATCTGTGGAGAGAAAGCAGAGTTAACTTTTCAAATGCAGTGACTTCTTCAGAAGGGCCTTTTCTGAGGAAGGGTCATGAGACTCAAATAATTCCTGATCCAAGGTTGCCTTACATGATTCAGAAGTGTAACAATAACTTGCTTATAGACAGTGCCTTTAGTGTAGTTAAACAGGAATACTATTAAAGATATTAGAATAAGTGAGCGAATGCTTACTCGAAGGGATAGGTTCAACAATGTAAGAGAGCCAACGTTCATGAGTGAATAGCAGAGCCTCAGGCTTCGGGTAGTTGTAAGGCAGCCAACAATGGTCGCGTCATGTAAACCATTGATGTGCAACAGATGAAAACTTGTGCAGCGACGTGGAGGGATGTAGGACTGGAGAAGGTGACAGAGATAAAGAAGGGTGTAGGGCTGGGGGAAGTTACAGACATAGGGATGGGTGTGTGGGGTTGTAAAGGTGACAAAGATATGGCAGGCTGGAGGAGATTACAGCGGTTAGGAGGTTTGTCAAGACTGGAGGTGGCCAGTAAGGGATTTTTTCAGAAGTACTAGAATAGTATGTCTAGCTCAATGTGACCATTTCAAAGATTCCTGTATTCCTTTATTCTAGAAATAGAGTTGCATTTATTTAGCATCTTTTGGAATGTTTGTATGTTCCAAATTGTTCGAAAGTCAATTAAGTATTTTTGAAGCGTTGTCAGTGTAATGATGAAGGAAGTGCAGCAGCCAATTTGTGCACAACAGGATCCCAAAAACAGCAATGTAATTTTAACCAGGGAGTCATTCTTCTGTCAGCATGTCATGCTTCAAGTGACTCCAGTTAAGATGGTGTCTGATGCTTTTATGCCCTCAGGTCACATGTTACAATGTCATTACCATGTTTCTTAACACATTGATAGTGAGACATAGGGGAGGTGATGGCCAAATGGTATTATCGCTGGACTATTAATCCAGAGACTCAGAAAATGGTCTGGGGACCTGAGTTCACATTCCATCATGGAAGATGGTGGTATTTGAATAAAAAAAACAATCTGGAACTAAGAGTCTAATGATGATCATGAAACCATTGCATATTGTTGGAAAAACCCATCTGGTTCATTAACATCCTTCAGGGAAGGAAACGGCCAATGTTACCTGGTCTGGCGTACATGTGAATCCAGACCCACGACAATGTGGCTGACTCTTAACTAGCCTCTGGGCAATTAGGGATGGGCAATAAATACTGGCCTAACCAGTGACGGTCTCACCCTGTGAATGAATTAAAAAAATACAACAATTTGGAATAGTTTGATAAAACTAAGTAGATGGCTGGCCAATTCAGAAGAAAGTTTAGCATCAACTGTTGTTTTAGGATTGGAGTTACATGTCCATAAATCAGATTGGTAAGGGCAGCAAGTTACTAGTCCAAAAAGACAGGGCTGGTTTTTGTGACATTTATGAATCTCCTAAACTAAACTGAGGTAGATTTTAGACCTTGCCACCTGTGCATAAAACTGGAGTTGCATGGCAAACTCTGTCTCTATAGAAGCTGGCTAATCTTTCTTTCCAGTGAAATATTTACTGACTTCAGTGAATCTGCTTCAAGTAAGGGACAAACAAAGAAGAAATGCTGGTGCAGGGTAACAGATGGATTTGATCACACTGATGGAAGCATTATAACATAGATTGGGATTGCAAAGAGGAAGACAAGTAACAAGAAAATGTAAATGTCCAAGTACTGGAGGAAATAAGCAATAGGAAATACATTAAAATAAAATAGTCATATTTATCTACTCTGTCTTTCAGAATCTCTCAAAGCATTTTGCAATGAATGACTCGATGTGATTTCATTTGACTTGTTGCCACGTGTACCCAAAAACAGTGAAAAGCTTTGTTGGTGAGCAGTACAGGCAGATCACATTAAGAAAGGGCAAATAGATCATAGGGTGAAAAAAAAACTGGGACAGAATAAGGCATACAGGTTACACTGCATGTAGGGATGTGCACTAGGCAAGATCAATGTTATTTGAAGTTAGAGAGTCCATTCGTCAATCTACTAATGGCAGGGAAGAAGCTGTTCTTGAACCTACTGGTGTGTGTGTTCAAGCTTCTGTATCTTTTGCCTGACGCAGGAGGTTGTTGAAGAGCATCACTGGGGTAGGACAGGTCTTTGATGATGTTGGCAGTCTTTCCATGGCAACGAGACGCGTAAACAGAGTCCATGGGTGGGAGGTTGGCTTCCGTGATGGTCTGGGCGGTGCATACACCTTCTGCAGTTTCTTATGGTCCTGAGCAGAGCAGTTGCTGTACCAGGCCGTTATGCACTTGGACAGTATGCATTCTATGGTGCATCTGTAAAAGTTGGTGAGGGTCCTCATGGACATGCCAAATTTCCTGAGCCACTTGAGGAAGAAGAGGCATTGTTGTGTCTTCTTGACCGTTACATCTACGTGGGAAGTCCAGTACAGGTTGTCGGTTATTGTCATTCTAGGAACTTAATGGTCTCAACCCTCTCAACCTCCGCTCCATTGATGTCGATGGGGCCATGTTCTCCTCCTTTCTTTCTGAAGTCAATGTAGTTTTGCCGACATTGAGAGAGGTTGTTATCATTGCACCATGACACCAACCCCTCTATCACCCTTCTGTAATCTGACTCATGGTTGTTTGATATCCATCCTACCACGGTGGTGTTGTCAGCAAACTTGTCGATGATGTTTGTTTGGAATTTGGCAACAGTCGTGGTTATAGAGGGACTAAAGTAGGGGTCTGAGAACGCATCCTCGAGGGCTCTAGTGTTATCGTGCAGGAGGTGCAGTTGTCTATCTTCACTGATTGCAGGACCTATGGGTCAGGAAGCTGAGGATCCAGTTGCAGAGGGCAGAGCTGAGACCTAGATCTTGGAGTTTTGACATCAGTCTGATGGGGGTAATGGTGTCGAAGGCGGAGCTGTAGTCAATGAGCAGGAGTCTGACATCGGTGTCCTTGTTGTCCAGATGTTCCAGGGATGCGCGCAGGACTAGGGAAGTGAAGTGTTCATGAAGCACAATCACAATTGTCTTGAGGGGAATAGAGGATCCAAATTGCGCGCAGGAAGATTCGACACCAATAATACACAAGCAGTTAATCTTGTTGTGATGCTGACAGCGGGATAAATATCATCCAGATGTCAATAGACC